CATCCACTTGACACCTGATAATGAAAAGTACGCTCTTCAACGGCGCCACCTGACTGCGCAGGCAGCAGGTACTAACGGTAAAACACCCACACAAGTGTGAGCAACAGGCGTTTAGCCTTCCACACTTTTGGCCATACAGCTTTAGTTTGGAAGCAATACCACAGTATTCAAAATCTTTTGTTTTTCACTTGGTGTTTCATAACCAACGGCAAAACCCCTTGGAATGTGGTTTATTTTGTTCACTGTTTTTCCGAAAGCCTGTTATGCAGTTCACAATTATTCCTTTCACAAGAAAGCTTAAGAGACCATACTATAAAGGCATGTGGCATATTTTACCTTGCCTTTGAAAAGCGCCTTTGTGTGTATGTATATATGTAGGTTGTTGTTGCTTATGTTTTGTTATGCAAAAATTTTAAATAATTAAATATTCGTAATGAATACTAATGCAAAATGAAGAATGTTTTCTTATTAGTGGTGTTGTAAGAAATGCTTTTGAATTGAAATGTGTGTGGTAAAAAGTGGTGAACTTCTGATGAGTGGAATTCCAGTGCCTGAGGATGGAAATTATTTATATTAGGAATATGCGGCTTATACCAACACTCATTTTATTTATATAGAGCGCCAAAGAATCATATGGAATTTGAAATTGTGCTATATAGGAAGTAGGCGTGGTTGTAATTCGATTGCGCCCATTTTCCCAATGTAATGTAAGATCGTCATGATAATGTTACGTACCGAATTTATTTGAAATTGGTATAGTAGCTTCGGAGATATGTGATTTTCCCTAAATATGGGCGGTGACACGCCCATCTTCCAATTTGTACCCCAGATCCTACAAAACTCTCTTGTATCATCTTCGTTGTAAAAATTAATACCTCTGGCGCATTTACTTATTGATTTATTGGGCGTTTAGTAGTTTTCAACAAAATCGTTATATGGGAAGTAGGCGTGGTTAAAACCCGTCTCATCTGTTTTAAACTGCCGATAGGTCCTGTAGGATTTTTCTTAAAAGAATTTGGTTTTTGTTGCTCAAGTGGTTTAGGAAATATCTGTATTGAATGTAATGTATTGTTTAGCCCACAAGTGCCCCTTGTTACTGCAATCCCCTTTCGACTTTCGAGGCAGTCACCCGGATTTCAACCTATCTCTCCCTATACCTAACTCCATTATTTTCAGGTGATACGAACAACCGCTAGGTGAACAAAACTGTTATACTCTGTAGCAACATGTTGCAAGAGTATAAAAGTCATTATACCTAAATATAGGTAACCGAAAAACTCATAGTTTTGTAGGAGTTTTACTGCTCTCCAAAAATATTCCTTGACATGGATCGCTCACAAAAAATTAAATGGCGTATCATTTGTCTTTAGAAATCAGCACTGACGGTACCCTTGGCTTAAGCTTTAGTTTAGTTAAGTAGTAAGCCACATTACATTCACTTTTTTTGCGATAGTGCTGGAAGAGTCTTTTCCAAATTGGTATATTTTCAAATCTAAAAATTTAGTTCATTAAGGTACCAGTTTGGCCAAAAACGTATATTTCCGCAGGTCTTAAACATTGTTTGAGTTTAAGTCGTAAGTTCGTAAATTTCCACAGTATCCTAAACATAAATGTCGAATTGTCGTTTGACAAGTCCTCTCTGGACGAACCTTCGAAATCGCTCATTATTTTCGTTCTGCGATGTCGATATCCTATGAGACGGCACTAGCAGTTTTCGGGAGAAAGGTTTTGCGGAAAATGTATGATAGGAGATGGCGAATACCGCAGATGATGGAACGAGCTATACGACGACATTGACATAGTTCAGCGAATAAAAGCGGCTACGTTGGCTATTTTTATAGAACATTTTATGAAAAAAGATCAGGGATTTGCTATACTAACTTCCGTCCTATATTTATTTTCACAAAGATGTTTAAATCATACCCTTATTGCCAATCGAGCTGTTTGTTAGGTATCTTATGCTTTATAATCCATATAGTCGGCCATTCTTTATAATAACTATTATATATATTATATATTTAAGTTCTATCATTTACATATAGAAGGGTTTGAAATTTGAAAATTTCATAAAAAGACCCTCCATGAAACTAATACTACGGACTCCCACCCCTCCTGAAAATCAAAATATTTTTGCGTTCCAAAACTTATCAATTTTTACACATTTCGCAATTTTACGATATTTTTTTTATAATGCAACTCACTGCGTTGGCACAGCATACACATTCCGCGTTGGGGTTCTCAGATTTTGCAATGACTGATGTCTGAGCGATGTATGTGTATGTATGTTCGTTGCCCGTTGTACTCCCCAATAATAGAGTTCGAGCTTGCCATCAAATCAACCCAATCAATGTCAGTATCAAACAAGTTAAGCATATTTTCTAAGACCGAAAGTACTATGCACTTAGTACTTTTATATACATACAAGTAAGTACACATAAATACACTCTCTCGGTTCTTGTCATCACTTCATCCTCCTCATTCACTTAACTTCTTTTTGCATAACTTTTGCTCATTGATGCATGAAATATTTGCGCTGAGTCTGCAAAATTCTTTTAACTCCAACCAAATGCAATATTTCTTTTGAAAGTTCTATTGTTAAGTTCTTCCATACACATACCTATACATGCATACATACATACATCTACGCATTCTTGAATACTTACACATACTTTAAGGATTCGCTAATATTCTGTTGCACTGATTGACTACCAGTTGTTATATTGATTTTATATCATTTATTATATGCAGTTATAGGTATATGTACATACAGCTATACTTATGCATATTTCTTCGAAATAATCATTGCAACGGCAAATTGAATGTAGTTCTCACGCATTGGGGAGCACTGACTTTTACACAGGAGTATATCGAGTCAACGAGTACTACACACATGATTATATTAAAAGAAGTAAGTATATATGTATGTGCATACATATTTATAATCACAGCACATATACCACACATACACTGGGTGTTTATATTATCATATTTATACTATAGGTATGTACAAGATGACTTTAGCGATTCAAGTACTCTTGCTAATGTCTGAAGAAGCTCTTTCGCTTTGTAAGCGCAATTTGGAATACAAAAAGTCAAACAAATAAAAAATCATATGCACTAAAAAAGCGAAACAAATTTTTAAGAAATATGTATCTAAACATATCAAAGACATTGCAAAATTCAATAACAAATAATTTGCACAAAATCAAAATTCAAATATTTTAAATATACGAAAACCCACCAGCTTACCAATCGAAGATACTCATTCTTCAATAAATAGATCAAACAGTATTTTCATGATACTACCCTTTCAGATAACCCTTGGTCCCTACGTTTTAGGGTAGGTTGAAAATTTTTTGAAGATATGCATTTGAAATATCCGTTTTCTTCATTGGAAAAGTACCGAAATACCGGATAGGATTAACCTAAAGACTGCGTGAACTACACTTTTAGATGTCCGGACTCTTCCCTTTTACTAGCTTATCATCTACATTTCCAGTTTCTTCATACTGGTTAGCCCACCTCGTCATAAATGTACAACTCATATCTAAATACTTAGCAGTTTTTTTTTAATGGCTTATTTAGGAACTTTCGGATGCTTTCTTAGAACGGCAGTTTCAAAACGTTTCTTATGCTAAGCACAAATTTTTCTTATTTCACGGCACGACGTAACACATTAAGAAGATCGAAAAACACTTATTGAATTGTTTGCGTCAGTAATCGCAATTGAACATGTGTTAATTTGCAAAAAAAATAACAACAGTGTTCCGCGAATTGATCGGGCAAAGGAAAAACGTTATTTTTTGAACGCACTGTATACACTCGTTTGTGTATGTACATAATAAGAAAATTGCGTTCTAAAAGCAGCAAGGAATTGAGAATTCTAAACGAAGATATTTATCGCTTTGTAACAATGGATGAAATATGCATCCATAATTTCACTATGGAATCGAATCAACAGCCATCCGAGTAGACTGCACACAGTAAACCGAACCTTAAATGTGGAATAATTATCGCTGACTATCTTGAAAAAGCAAGAAATTTCGAGATTGGAGTGTTGGAAGGTTGAAATTGCGACAAACAATCCCTTTTTTCAATTTGTGGACTCCATCGCAAAAAAAATGCGCCGGATTAGCGCCAAAAATTAATTATATTTTGATACTCTGATTTGATGTGAACCGCATTACAGTGCGGGCGCTCTGTTTCGAGCGTAACAAATGGTAGTCAGAAGGGGTCTGAGCTATAAGAGTGGTGAGCTAGCCACTTTTTTCCAAATATTTTTCAACCGGACTCGCAACATGAGGCCTAAAGCTGTCATGATGGAAAATTTTCGTTCTCGATGAATGTCGAATAATATCGAATATATCACACTTTGCCTAAATCAATTAACCGATTTTCTTACGACGTTATGAAATTTATATCCTTAACTTTATACCTTATGCTCTACACTAAACCCACTTTAATAATATTTGCATATTAACCAATATTCTATATTTCGATGTGTGTGTGTCATTACATCGTTATTTCTGCTGCATAGCAATTTTCTTAAAATTAAAACATTTTGTAATATTTAAATAATACCAATATTAAATAATACTCTACCTAACTCGAAAGAATAGAATAATTTTCTGAAGGTCACTTATATATTTTAAACACTATAATTTCAATTGTCTTGAGACTTAGAAAATTTCACAGAATTAACTCCTCCTTTTGAATTGATAGCCCTCAATTGCATTCCGAATGCAATTTGTCTCTAAATTGAGTTAGCAATTGTCACCAGCTGCGTCAATTGAAATGTGATTTAATGACTACTTAGGGTTGCATACCGAGTGATTAATGCCCGCAATTACGTATACCACACGTATCACAATAATATATTTCACAAATACACTCACATAAATCCACTATGAATTCGATCCTCACCAAACATGACAAATATTGAAGAGAATTTCTCACTCCGAGCTATTTAAGTGGCATCAAATGACCAACTGGCATGGAGTGCGCCAATATTCTCGAATGGGAGTGAAAGTATCCAGAGCGTTTGGATAAATAATAAAAAAGTGGACATCAAACAAGCCACAAAATAAGCAATCAACCAATTGAGTTATAGAGCAATCAGAAAATCAAGCGTTTGGAAAGTGGCGGTGTGCGTGAACGCAAACACTTTGTCAACCTCAGCTGGAGTTGTGGCTCCTGCTAGCGACGCTTGTGGTTACTTTTGGTTGAAAATATCTCCGTGCAAATTTCTGCCTTCACTTCGTTAGCACTTCTGCTGTGAAAACCGCGCAAATTCAAGTAAATATGTCCACCGCGGTCTTAGACAACGCGATGCTCTCAGTCAATGTGAGGCTGTGGAAGTTTCTCTCCGTACTCTTTGCACGCGATTGGCGGCGCTGTGTCGCTTTTGTGGCACCCGTTTGTCTAATGAATGCAATGCAGTTCGTTTATTTGTATCAACAATGGGGTGATTTGGCCACTTTCATATTGAATACCTTCTTTGCGGTCTCCGTTTTCAATGCCTTGCTGCGTACGTGCCTGATTATTAAGAATCGAGATAAATTTGAAGCGCTGATGGAAGAATTGGTAACATTATACGACAATATACAAGTGAGTGCGAGTTATAACGGATAATTTATTTTTTAAGTTTCATTGTTTGCTTACAATGAAGTTTAAATAAAGAATATTTTAAAATTTTTCATTTTCTTTTCTTCGATTATTCAGGATTCGGACGATGATTATGCAAAGAGCGTGCTGGCCGCAGCTACAAAAAGCGCAAGAAATATTTCAATTTTCAATTTGTCAGCTTCGTTTTCCGATTTAGTTGTCGCAATGGCATACCCACTTTTTCAGCAACAGAGAGGTAAATTACAGCATATGATTAATCAAGCTATTTTTGATTTTTTTTTTATACTAAAATATAAGTTTATGTTTTGGATATAATATCAGACGAAGCTAACATCAACAAGTGAAACACGCAATCTAGCAAGAAAAGCAACTACAAGTAGTACCAGTTGAGAAAACCATGCTTGCATTTAAACAAAGACCTAAAATAGTTTCTTGTTTGACAAAAAATCATTCTGTAAGTCTTTTCTAACCGCAATGGTATGATTGAAATGGATCCTTTGCTACACCCTCTATATATTATTAATATTCTTTATTTAACTGACAGAGTAGAGTGATGTTCAATCTTTTGAGGTAAAATAATTTATATTACAAAGGTTGCCTTGTGAAAAGACAAATTAGGGGTTGTTTGGTTGATATATTTGCGTCATTAATATTAGTTAATTCCTTCCTTCGTAATTGTATAAATATTAATTACAGTGCGTTCAAAAAACAACGATTTTCCTTTGGGCGATCAAACACATGTAAAGTAAATGACAAGCCCGAAAGAGGGAGAAAGGACTCACATGACATCTGAAAGTCAGGACAAAGCTATTGTTCTCCTCATTGAGAAGAAACCACTATTCAGTCTAAGAGAAGCTAAAAAAAATTTGTTCAAAAGGGATTAAATATATATCTAACTACAATACGGGACAGACTTCAGAGATCTGCAGCAGTACTGTAATCAAACCCCTACTTTCGAAACACGCTCGTGATTGGAGCAGTATAATATTTACAGATGAGTCAACTTTTGTATTGTTCAACCCTTTGAGACGTGTTTGGCTAAGAAAACGACAAACATTTATTCAAAGAAAGGTTAAGCACACACAAAATGTATATGTTTATGGATGCTGATCTGCTCATAGATTTGGGATTTTGGCAGAAACCCTGAACACCGTTAGAAAGAGTTTACTAAAATCAGCTGAAATGCTTTACGGCAAAAATAACCATAATTGAATACTGGAAGAAGGTCTGAGACATGGGAGCAGACTTTGTACTCGAATATTGTAAATATGTTATCGAATTTTGTCACTGACTTATCAAACGCATGGTTTAAATTAGCGCTAGGTAAAATTTATTTAAATTCCAACCCCAAAGGCAGCAGTAACAAAAAAAATTTGAACGCTGCAGTACCCTTCCCTACCAGACTGTCTTTATTTACATACACAACGTGCATTTATATATAAATGATATAATTTAAACTGAATATTTCTTATTAACAGTTCATCCTTTCGGCGTTGCATTACCTGTCATCGATGTCACACGCTCTCCGCTCTATGAACTCATCTATATCGGTCAATTATCTTTCCCTTTCACTTTGTCCAGCATGTATATGCCCTATGTAAGTTTATTCGCCACTTTCGCTATGTTCGGAAAGGCAGCACTGCAGATATTACAAAATAATCTCAGAAATTTATGCGATAAGATGAAAAGTAAAACTGAAAAGGAACTCTTCGAGTTGCTGCGTACGAATATCGCCTATCATGCGAGAATCGCTAGGTGAGTAAGGTCTCACTAATTATGGCTAGTGTATTGAAATAATTAAGTATGCATTCTAGATGATATTCAGAACATTTTTATACTAAACCTTTATACTAAACTGATTTAGAATCATATTTTTAGAGTTTTTTTTATAGAATATATAAAATGATTAATATTTTAAATATTAAATATTTTTATTTCAAAGATATGTAAGTGACTTTAATGAATTGGTGACCTACATGGTACTCATCGAATTTCTACTCTTCAGTTGCGTCATTTGCTCGCTGCTCTTTTGCATTAATATTGTAAGTACTTCTTCGTTATTTAGAGTTTAAAGTAAAATAGTTAGAATTATATTTCACCAATCGCCGTCTTTGTTTTTTAATCATATATTTTCTTATTGCATTTCATTAGACAACCTCTATGGCAGAGAAGATTTCTATTGTCATGTATATTGGCACAATGCTGTATGTACTTTTCACCTATTACTGGCAAGCCAATGGAGTTTTAGAAATGGTACTTCATTCATATTATAAAATTACTAAATAACACAGATGCAATTGATTTTTATTTCTAATTGATTACCCTTAGAGCCTCCTCGTCTCAGATGCGGCTTACGAAATGCAATGGTACAATTGTAGTCCACGTTTTAAGAGAACTCTACTTACATTCATTGCACGCACGCAAAATCCATTACAGGTGGGTATTGTTATGAAATGTGCATCTCCAGTTGGACCTCACTAAGGGTAAGAATCCAAAAAACTATATCATAGTATTTTTAATTTTTACAGATTCGCGTTGGTCAAATGTATCCAATGACAATGGAGGTATTTCAATCACTGCTTAACACATCGTACTCCTATTTTACTCTTTTGCATAATCTCTATAATGATTAAAATATATATTAATATATATTTTAAAAATATACTAGCATATTGTAGTAAAATTTTTATAAAGCGTTTTAGTGAGATGAATGAAATGTTCAACTTTATTAATAACAGGAAAAACGTTAACTTCGATACCCTTTACATGTGCATTTCTCATAGTTAACTAAGTATATGTATAATTAAATGGCTTGGCATCCATCGCAATTATTTCTAGCATCGTTGTTTCAATTTGACATTGATTTTGTGGTTTATCATGAATTTGTCATATTGTAGCATTTATTAAAACCAAAATGATATAATTTTCATAAAAAATATAAAATACAAAATCGAGTCGATAATTTATGCTACTCACTTACGTCACACTATCAAAACTTTATTGGTAAGCTGTCAAATAGATTATCCGTTCAGTTTTCTATATACAAAAGCTTGTGCAATTTTGTATTGCAAAAAAAAATTTGCACAAAAGACTGCGCATTTTGACTATTCAATCTGCACTCAAAAAAAAAAAAATAATAGTTCTAAGTTGATAAAGTTTGAGCGAGATACAAAAATTTTCAGAGCTATTTCTTTAAGTCACATAAAGCGTCTTTTATCGGAGATAAAAATATTTACTGTTAATTTATCGTTGTATTTATGTTCCAATTAAATTACTCCTACGGATTTATTGAATGTGTAATAGGAGCGTTTTGGGTAGTCTACTTTACTGAGAACATAAGTTTTTCCAAAAGGTATTCCAATTAAGTAAATTGATTAAGTTTTAAAATTTCATATATGAAAGGCATCGTTAAAGAACTCTTACCAAAAAACTTGAATTATTGCAGTAAAAACATTGTGTAGAAATCAAGAAACATTTACTAATAATATAAGAATTTTCCAACTTCCGGTTGACTTTAAACCGTAAATTTCGATCAATCTCTGAGGTATCTAATTGAAACTATATGAACTCCTTTTTCCTTTTTCTAATATGCCGTGATGCCTAAAACGAATAATATGTTAAATTCAGTCCATTTGTTTGTTAGTGTATATGAGATAATATCGCAATGGCAGAAAAATATTTTAATTAGTATTATGTCATTTGGAAATAAAAATTATCACCGATATTGATATTGTATCTTCCTCCAGCACTAATATCTTGAAAATGCGTTAGTTAGGTTGTTTCTAATTTAAAATTCTCGGATATGAACCTATAATACTAGTATAAGTTAAGTAGATAACAAATTTGATTGTAATCCAATATGAATTCTTCGAATAATGAATGATCAATTCTTTCGCAACATTTTTTAATATAAAGGTTTAACCTTCACCTGAAAGTATTTCCCCGGCTTTGATCTTTGCAAATTCTGAGAGTATAATATGTTTGATTAGACGGGACTTAGCCATATTTTCTTTAATTTAGTTTGTATACTCTTGAAACGCCTTCTTAAAACTCTAGCAAAGCTTCCAGAAATACACTCGAAGGTTTAACATTGTCGGGCGAAGGACGAACAGTGTTATTATAATTTTAGATTTTACCTTCACCGGAGTCCGAGTGATAATCAATTATTCAATTTACTTACTTACTGCTGCCGCTATTGAATTGTTTTCGTTGAGTGAAAATTTGTTCGATGACTCATTTTTAATATTCGATAGACGCAAGTTTCTTATTCTTCTGAATGCTGTATCTGCGTTTGACCAGTTTTGCTATAACTTTCTAAGAACAAAGCCGCTAAATATTTTACTAAAAACATAAAATGCAACAATGCTATTAAGTTGCTAATTAGTGGGATGGACTCTTCTTGCAAAAGCTTCCGCATTCAGCATATATCTGTGATGTTCAAAGCCGCATTTAACAGTACTTACAAATGTACGCTTAGGTATATGTATGCGTGTATTTGTCTATTATCAGAGCGTTCGACTTCATTATCCGGTTTTGCTTGTCCACACGCATAATTTTTACGACCGCAACGAAATTGGTAGGTGCAGAATTTATCGTTCGCGTAATTGGCAATAAATATACGATAAATGTCTAAAGTAAACAAAAAATATATATTGCATATGCATGCTATGGTATATATAATATTATATAAATAATAAATGAGATATATGTAAATAAAAAATTATTGGACTTTAAAAAAAATTTAGAACTATTTTTGAAAAATTATAATTGTTGGCAAAAAAGTTCATTCCATTTTGAAAAGAGCAAATTTTATACTTTGCAATAGCAGGTATAGTGTATTTTTTAATCAGTGGACTAATAAAGAAACTGCACCCAACATTCTAGTATCGTCTTACTTATTAGTTGCGGTAATATTAATTCATTGTTCTCAAAATGAAAAACGCTAAACTTTGCTATATTTATAAGTATATATGTATGGAAACGTCCCTAACTTCTCTAGTCTATGTTTTGCCCATTTTTTACTATTTTTTCGCCTATAAAATCAGTTTTACGATCGCCAGGCACCACGTCGTCTCATCAATGTGGTTAACTGATTTACTTGTGTCTACTAAATATTCCACAAACGCCACTGAAAGCCGCCCATAAACCCAGAATACGTCTCGATAGCTGCAAATGAGTAGAATAATGCAGTACGAGAAAGAGCTCAGTCAGGTTTACAAAGCACAATATGCCAGTGGCTTCACTTGTCTCGTACATCTTTTTGTTCGTTTTGCTTGCTAGTGGTATATTTAACTTTTTATGGCAGAATTATAATGAGCTAGCAACTTTGTTGAATGCTGTGGCTGTAATAGCTTCTATATTTTCTTCTATTCATTCATTCAAATTCAGCTGAATTGTTCGCCTTGTGGCTTTGGTATGCTATTTTGTGGTCTTTACTTGAAGAAAGGTTATTGCTTAAAATTTTGATTTATCGTTATGTTAAATAATCGATTTAAAATACCTTACAATAACTGTATAAATCTAAACATCAAAGAACGCAAGATTGCTCTTTTGTGATTGAGCACAAGGCAGCAATCACGACCACGTACTATACATAGGTATGTACGCATAGCCTATGGATGTCTTAAAGCGAAATGCGACGGGTTGCTTACGCTGAAAACTACCATAAGTGAAAGAACTGATTGAGAGTCACAAGGACTATGTTAAAACTTTCTAAGTATTAAGTTTAAAATCTTAAAGTTATCAAAATGAAAGACTTAGGACTTTCAAGATATTATTTCAACCCTTTGTCTTGCATTTATATTATAATTTTTTTGAAATATACAGACGTCGCTATAATACTTGTGAACAAATGTTTGAGAGAGATACTCTTCTTATATTCTGGCAGTAAACTTTTAGAGAAATAGGAAGTTTTTAAGTAATTAAGTTTTAAACCCAATCGGAAGTAATATGGTATACACTAATGTCTGCCGAGGGGCAACTGTTAGTAAAAAATACCTCTTTTAGGTATTGACTCGGTTGGAAGTTGATAACGACTCAGCACCTTTAATAAAGACTAAAGTCCCAGAACTTTAAAATTGATAACACCAACGTTAAGACGCGTTATCGCTGTCTGGAGTAAAATCACCCTCCTGTATCATGATTGATTATAGTTCTTGAGATCCCAACTCAAAGACATCTTATTTAAGTAAAAGATTTTTTTTTGGTAGTTTTTTATATTCTGTCGTGAAAGCATTTGCTTCAAGTTCAACAAAAACAAAAACAAAGTTCAGACATAGCTCAGTTCTTTAACCTTTCGATTTTCACAGACAGATCTTCAGGTACACAAATACATCAACTAGACGCCTATTTCACTACAGAACAACCGCTTGTGAGTTTATTTTATTTAACATTTTTCTATTGGATTATCTATTCTCTAAGCTTTGGAGAATCGCATACATTTTGGGATTTTACTATAACGAATACAACTGATTTGGTGGCCTTGATTAAAGAAAGTGCAAGGTATATGCCCTCAAGGTTACATTTCAATAGCCACTTTCGGGTGAGAATACCCTCTAGGCGGAGGAGAGTTTTGGTAAGCGAGCATGATACAACCTCTATCTATACCGACGGGTCCAAAATAAGCTACGGAGTAGGGGAGGCTGTATACACCAATGATCTCGAAATCACTCCCTCTACCAAATTCAGCGAGCAGCTTCCAAGTGGAAATAATAGGTATAGAGAAGGACTCTGATGTTCTATTGAATAACTATAGAACACGGAAATCCAGGCAGCGTTGCTGGCCTTGTCGACGCCATTTATCAATTCGAGCTTAGTTAACAATTGCAAGAAGGCTTTGAGGCCTCCCTGGTAGGTCAACTCCACTTATTCATAATTTGCGTACCCGGCGACAGGAATATTTTCGGCAACGAATAGGCAGATGAGTTAGCTAAGCTAGCAGTTTCTTTAGACGAATCCGAGCCGGAGTTAAAAATATGCCCGCTGGGAGCGATCAAACGATCAAAAGAGAACTGTATACTCACTTTAAGCAAATAATAGATGGAAATCAATAACCAACTGCAAAATATGGTCCAAGTATGACAATAAGGAAATCGCTTTCGTCTTTCTCTGTGAATGCCAGGGACAGGATACTTGGAATCCATAAGGCGCACAAAAATCATGACAGATATAAGTAGTTTCATTGAGAGCACCAAATGGTCTTGACGCAAAGATGAAACAAGATAGCAGGATTGTAAGGCCCTACGATAGTCCATCAAAATGGCGCATTCAGCGCTAGTTAAGCACCGACAAGCTGCACTCTTACCTATCTATAACAAACACGGAAGTATTTGAATTGCATATGTGTTTCATCTTTTCGAATGTGCTATATCCTATATCAGTTAATGACGAAAACATCATTATGTGAAGGTCACAAAAAGTAACCAGCAAAGTTCAATAATAATTTACTCTTTCCACCAGATTTTGGTCATTGTGAAATTTTCCTGTTCCTGAAACTCTAATTACTGTTCGAAGAAGAAGCACTGATTCGATTGAGGTCTCTTATTAGATGTATGTATATTAAAGAACGATAAGCACTATCGCCTCGGTTTATAACCAAAATATGGAAAATTGGATTAAATGTTGACTGTATGGCCTCTAAGAAACTTAAGTAAAAATTTATAAATCTTAAGTAAAAATTTGTTTTTAAATATCCCGGCTTAATTTTGATGAGATAATTCAATAATGTAAAACAACGTTGCAATTTAAATAAAATTTAAAAATGCGGAAAAAATCCACATAATTCCACTGATAATTACGATTAATCTACAAAATGGCCAATCACTGCGGATTAAGCTTCAGGACAATTGTGTAAATACTCGATGACAGATTTGACAAATAAAAAGCGAAAATGTCCACGCTTTTCCCTTTCAGTACAAGAAAATGCCAACATGTGGCGCTGGTGATAGGCATAAGCCGTAAACAACTACAGTAATGCGCACAATAATAATAACAATAAAAGTAGGCAAACAACACTACAAAAAAACAACTATCTATGGTTGTATGCGTGTAAGTGTAGGTGAAAAAAATAATATAAATGTTGTACGAAAGTAAGCGTATGAGTTGGCATGTAACGGTAAAATCGGTAACGGACAATAAAATTCCGCATTAATGCCACTTACTCGAGCGTTATACCACAAAAAGCACAAAGGCAAATACAACGAACAAACATACACATATCGCACACACACACACTTATAGATGGCACATCCATAAATACTTATATGTAGTTGTGAAGTGTCACAAGCACAGTCGGCGGGCGGGCTGCTGGTCAATCACATTTCGCTAACAACAATGGCGCAGGATAACAGGACAACAGCACGACAGGACAGCCGCGCCACGGCGGTGATATTGGTGATGTTGTTGTATCGCCAAGCAAGCTGGTTGGCACACGCCGGAGTGTGAGATAAATATTTTCTGCAAACATTTGCACAAAAATCGGCAAAAGGCGTAAAGCAGAGGGCAGGCAAAAGGACAACAAGCGAGGGGAGAGTGTGGCGAAAGCAGCCAGTGGACACACATAGTCGCTATGTAAACAATTCTTATCAGCATTAGGTTGGTGCTTAAAACGTTAAGTGGAGGATTTTTTCAATCTACAGTCATAACAGGTAATATTATTATAAAGCGTATTTTTTAGAGATATATTTGTCATTATGTCTTAAAAGTTATCGCAAATGATCGGAGCGGTTGTCTTAAATTAATTCCAGACGAGAGGCTAATTTAAATTTCGCCCATTTTTCTTGTGAAAATCGGGATCGGTGGCAATCTCGTTTTGGACCCATTCACCGAATGTGCGACGCGCTTGATGATGATTCGGCTTCAATTCTTGCACCAATTGAATTTTGAGGGCCCGCAAACCAAGATCCTTCCGCAAAATCCTCAATTAGATGGACAGCTCCAATTGTTGCGCGGATTGACGGATGGACTCATTCATGTCTTCTTCGATACTCTCACAGTCGTCTTCGGTGCGCACTTACGGCGTCTCTGAGAATGCGCATTACCCACTAGATGCGAAACCGATTCATTGTTGTTCGGGTTAGCGACTCTGCTGGGTGATTATGTCAACCGAATATTGGAAGCAGCACGCAAACTGAACCATTAATACGGTGTAAGCAATACACTTTAATTTTGTTGTTTTATGTTTTAAGATATTTAGAATTTCTTATAAGGTGAAGGAAATTAATTTTTCAAAATATGGTCCTGTCATTAGCCACCAAGTCCATGGACCGTGCCCCTTTTTTTCATTTGCCGGTTATTTTTCAAATGTATTGAAGTAAACATAAAAAGTGTAAAACTTAACCACTCCAATTAAGGCCTTTGGGGGAAAGCCATCTCCACTATATATAATATTTTCCGCTTTCCCACGGTAACACATACCACACATACCATACAGTAAAAAGACGATTAGTCACTATCATCAAACTTGAACGGCAGTGCTTGAGATAGTACGTATGTATGTAAATAATGGGGAAATTTTCTACTTATCAGTTTTAATACAATCTAGTTTGAATTATACATACAAGTAACATACCAATTTGATTTCCTCTCACTGACGCAGAGAAATTCCGCAATTGTATGCCTCTAATGAATATTGACTGGCAATGGGAAACTCCGTTAAAGTGGTCAAGCAACACTATTGAATTGGAATACGAGTATACTCTCTTAAAACACATATATATTTGTGTAAACTTTGATATATTAACTAGTCATAAAGCTTGAAGAAGAATATAAGCAAACTCAATCAGTAATTAAAGTAGCACACAACCGTTTGCTTTCTTTGGTGGTGCCTACAGTTGAAAAACCTAGTGTGTATAGATATGTGATACTGTACCGTGTTTATACCACGATCGGTAGACATAGCTTTAAAACTTGTTTCCCATATATGCATATATACTTGTATATACATATGGTACTTATATGAGGGCTACCCTAATATTCACACAGCTTTGCACGAATGTCCTGAAATGTAATGTTGGTGTTGTTGTTATAAAAAAAAGTTAAAGCAAATAATGTCAGCCGCAGATGGCCACCGTTTATGCTGGCCGATGGCTTTTGTTTATTCGCTGAAATGACCATTCGCTTTGGCCTTTCGCTGCTTTGGCTCGGTCCAGTTGAGTTTCGTTTGTGCGATTTCAGCATTCGAACGCAATAAATCATTCAACAATTGGAAGTGCTTAACTTTGGTGGCAAGAGAGAAAGCTGCGGAGTGTGCCTCCGTGTCGAATGTGGGAGCAGTTATGCCAAAAATGCAATTTTGAATGTGCAACACATGGCTAAAAAAAATATTTATGCTGTCTAACTAAAGATTTATGAAATATTTGTTCATACGTTTGTATGTATATATATACATATGTCAAAAATATGATAGATATATTTGTATATATATATAATAAATGAGAATTTTTCGCCAAAACTCGCTGGCGAGGTTCGTATGAGAAGGTATAGATTCATGCTACTGAGAATTTTGTTATAGTTACAAACCGATGTTTAATTGCGTCTCCTTTCGAACACTTCTTAATAGAGTGTTTTGAGTAACTATAAGGAACTTTAGTAGAGTAGGGCTGACATTTTCGCTTGAAGAGTCCACTGTAGTTTGAAGTTAACCACCAAGAGTCTATCTTAGAGCTAGCGACTTCTTAAAATAATGGCGTTCGAAGTTTTGAGCATAGATTAAGACGAACCACGTAGAAAAAACAGCTACAATGAATTGCTCCAATTGCTCTTAAAGACTACCAACAGAAAGTTTCAATTCTATGTGAAATAGTGTCTATAGGTCAAAAATATGATACTACAAACTTCGAATTATTTACACTGACTTATAGGAGACACCTCTGCCTGCCTAGATGATGTCTTCAGGGCGGCGGAGGTTAACATCACTTCCTCTCATAAGATGGGAGGGGGAGGCAAATCACGGCAACATCGCGATGCGGCCGGTTAATGACGATAACTTTGAAAAGGTCAAAAAAACAGTGCTTGAAAATCTTGGTGTTGGTATCAGAGAGATAGCAGAGAATCTCAAGATCTCTTATGGATTGACTCTACACATTTAGGTTTATGTTTCCGGTATGAAGCGTGTCAATGCTAGTCTCGTACCAAAGACCTGAAACTTTTGCAAAAACGTCGTCGAGTAGAGATCCCAAAAAAGATGCTTGACAACGTGGCTCAGGACCCTGCATTCATTAAACGCATCATTACTGGTGACGAGAAGCAGATTTAAGAATATGAAGTCGAAACTGTACAACTGTACAATGGCACTCCTAAAATGAGCCAAAACCGAAAAAACCCAAATTCGCTGAAGACACTGAAGTCAACCCAGCCGAGGCTTATAACAAATGTGTGGAAAATTGGATTAATGGCTAACACGCTTGTATTGGCTCGAGATCCTATTTTTAAGGTATTAATAAAGATTAATATTAAAATACGTGAAAATATTGTTTTTTCTTTGGCCAGTCCGGTTCAAATTTGATCAAATGGTATAACCATTACGGAGATATATTTTCATAACAGCTGATTAATAGCAACAAAAGTTTACATGAAGAAGACAATAATTCCACGAACAAAACTTTATTCTGCTGGCAATGACTGAGCGTAGCTCGTCGTGAGCTCTGAATAATTTTTATAGCAACTTCTTTAAATCTTTCAAAAACGGTACATCTATTTAAGTAAAGCGTATAAATTCTATATTAAATCACGGGCGCGATCTTCATTTCATTTTTGTCATTTTATCAGTCAATTCGTTAACGTTGAAATCTTGCGGCAGATCGCAACCGATGGTAGTGATCACTTTGGCCGCCACCGCAGATCCCACGGCAACACAATCCTTAAGTTTGTAGTTATTCAGGAAGGCATGTAAAAAACCGGCTACGAATGAATCACCCGCACCAGTCGTATCGACAACATTATGAATAGTATCTACCTTACATTCGCGATAAAATATTTTACCCGGTTTAGCCGATCCATACTCAACATTGCTTACAAGTAGTACGCTGTTCTTATCATTTGTAATAATCAGAATGCGAGGACCGCAATGATGATCAAATAGTTTTCTGATCGCCTTCTCCGAATCGTTGCCGAAACCCATTCTATTGGCAAGTGCACAAAATTCATTGCCATTGCCGAAGATGAAGTATGCGGCGCATGCGTATGTCATGACATCATCGAAGTTTTCGCGCACAATAAATTCGGCACTCAAATTTAGTGCCAACCAACGACGACCGCTCACATAGTTTTTAATCATATACTCGCACAACTTTCTACGTCCCGGTGTGATGAAGCCCTCCACATATATAAGTTGCTTGCGTTCGGTCGGGCGCAGGAACTGTACCTCTTTCTCGGCTTGCTGCATAAGCTCCACACTGATGCTTTCCGAGGCGCCAATGTTCGCGTAAAGGGTTTCAGTGTGAGTATCCTTATTTATGATCGATAAACATTCGCCGGTCGGCAATTCTTTGTGTGTGAATAGACTATAACAAAGTATGGAAACAATGTGAACTATGCTACATACATTAAATTTGGGAACTTAAAAGTATTACCGCACATCAATGTTGTGCTCTTTGAAGTATTTGCGTAATTTCTTTCCAGCTTCATCGTCGCCCACTAGACCAATAAATAGCGAATTGTTGCCCAACTGTGTTAGCAGTCGCACCGTATTGAGCGCTGAGCCACCAGGACTCTCCACGCATTTCACCCTAAAAGAAACGAAGATGATTGAAAAATTAACGTCTACACCGTAAACGCTTACCTCTTGCAAGCTTCCTTTTTTAATTCTCGCAAAGACTTCATGTCGAGGATACCTTTGGTATTTTCTACAGCGTTAAACTTTTTCAGTATTCCAATTTCACTGTTGGGCAGTCGCGCCGTGTGATCCAGCAAAATATGTCCAACAGACATGAATTTAAATTGTCTAAAAATGTAAGTTATTTGTAATAAGAGCCTACTCTAAAGTGGAACTACAGTTTTATCACAGATCTCGCATGAAAAAGCCCAAGCGTGTTTCCCTCCTTATGACCAGATTGATGTGCTTAGTAAAGCTTAGCTTATGCAGTCTTTTCATACACTTTGAATGTTGAAGAATAAGGTCGACAGCATCAAAACTACTGCAAAAGATTCTATGTCATACAAAGTAACAAGCGACCGCAAGCATTTACTCTATTTGATACCCCGTCTTAATTGGTATAGGGAGAACTTAAAAACGATGGTACATAGACCGGTTTTTGATGGAGATTTAAAGAGAATCTAAATATTACAGGCACTGAAAACGGGACACAAGTTTTGTCAGTACCAGACCAAAAAGGCAAGAAAATTAATAGATCAAGCGCTGGTAAAAACCTGTACAATGTTTAGCTTACATTAAAAATTTTAGGTTATAAGGAAGTAATTACTATTTCTAGTTTCAGCTTAACTATTTTCTAGTTCATTTTAACCAACTATGAACATGGACAGACCAGTTTGTTTTTAGGATAGTTGAAGAGTCTTCTCAGTATATATCACGATGGACCGGCGTTCTAAGCTGTCTAAATGAGATCACTTTTAGGATCGTCCTCTTAACCTAACCATATACTTCTTGAGTTAAATATTATTATCACCAATTAGCTTTGGACCCATTTCCTTAGCAACTCCTTACTCAAAAATTTTTATAATGCTAGTGACTTTAAAATCATCAAAAATTTTCATATACTAACTTTGGAAGCTTTTTGTTTGTTTCAGCAGCACGACCTTGGCATTCGCTCTGAAATATTTTACAAAAAAGATTGTAGATATAAATTAATCGCACTTTTAACAAAACTTGTGACCTCTTTACATTTTTATTTGCATCGCTGCTTAATGACCGACAACGGATTTGCAGGGTACAGCATCTTTTCTTAATACATCCAGCAATATTTCTTTTTATCTGTATTGGCTTGGACGCCGTGTTCACGATCCGGAGGCCTGCTATCATTTTAATGCTTCCAAAGTTTCACATAAAATTTACCTTCCTAAAGATATTTGTACATGATTTAACCAAAATGTGTTTAAAAAACTAAAATTTCAAATTTTCGTTTGTTTTTTTTTTTTTTTTTTGAAGTAAGGACCGTAAAGCTATTCCGTCAAAGTGAAAGTCATGTCGTATAACAGAATATCACAAAAAAGATTTGAGACGTGTATTTTCGAACTATAATCCGGTAAGAATACTGCCACGTTAAGAAAACTCTGAAGTAATACTGAAATATATGTCTGAGTATATTTCAGAACAGAGCTCGTATTTATATTGGGCATTGGTAGTCTATGGTACTGGATAGAACCGAACAAGATTAGTATTCTCCTTCAGCGAGCTGAATATGTCTTCTTATAGTATTTACCCAATATAGTTTTTGAAAATATATTAACCGAAAGTGAAAACTACTACCCTCTGATTATGGCGATTACCAATATAAAGACGTACCAGCCGTTGTTACCAGATCTACCTATGATAAAGATAATATACTTAAATTTATTTCTCTTTACCCGCTCTTTTTAAACTCATCTGACGACTAACAGCAGAAAAATAGTAGCATTTAACCTAATATCCGCGTGAGGTTTGAAGGGAAATTTTCTACAGTGGTATATAATATCCCTTATGGTTAAAACTATTCTACGGTTTGGAGGATACGAACCTCCGGAGTACCATTCCTCTAAGTCCAGACTGGTGTATTAGAAATATTTATAGCAGGTGATGAGTTTAGTTTCTCTTCCACAAATTAAACGCAACGTAAGATTACTCATTTTGTTGCTGCCGGATCTACATATGAAAATTGGGATTCAATTGTACAATTCATGTCTTCTTGCTTCTTCATTGGAAGATTTTGAAACCTCTACTGTGTTACCAAGTGATTACCAAATTACCATTAACCGTTCATTACAAAACTATTTGCTTTTAGTTGTGACAATCTATGATCTTTCCTTCTCTTACAACTGTGATAATAACCAATGCACTTTATTTTGCTGAATCTTCTCCAACAGATGGCTGGCAATTCACAGTGCAATCGCGCTGTTGGACATAAAATATCCATGGGTACTCAGTTTAATTTAAAATATGTCTTATTAATAAAATGATAATAACTAAACCTTTTGACAAAAACAAAAAAAATTCAATCTACCTATATATATTAACTCACTTAAGGGCGTCCTCTATTTTTTTTTTTGCATATCTCGAATGTAAACATAACTAGAAACATGCCCTATAAAGGATCGAAAGCATGTAGCATATTTTTTTAAGTTTTGGTACGATTCTAACAAAATTATAAAAGATATTCGAAATCTGTAAATTGCCGCTGCTTTACAAAGCATCTCGATATGTTTACACAAATTTTTTTGGAAAAAAAATTTCCATTTTTGAAGTCTCCTTTAGCATGAAAACATGGTAGTTTAGATTATACTGGCCGGCTGTCACGCCATACATAGACCTACTGATCCCTTGTAATGCCAGATGGAGGTTCAGTTTAATTTGAACTGAAGTATGCGTCATACAGGATGTCAACACTTTTTGCAAACTTTCAAAGATACATGATATCTAATTTTGATACTTCATCTATTGTGCGAAGCTCCTAGATATCTAAGACGAGTTCTAGTTAAGGCGGCAGATGCAGAACACCGCCTCCTGCTGCCTCCCTGCTTCCTAGGACATTCTATGACGTATTACGATGTGAGATCTTAGCCTTAATTCCCGCTTGACCTTCGACGTAGGTATGTATATATTGATTTCAGCGTTATTAGCTATCGCAGCAGCTTTTTCAATCGCATAGACTTCCGCCTAGATGATAATGCAGTATTCCGAATGATTGAAAGGATACAGCTCCGAGCAATAGATTCCTGCGTCTACTCCATTAGCCATTTTTGATCCGTCTGTGTAGATGTCCGCATTTTTATCCGGCCAAGGACTATCAACAAGACACCTGCTTAAAACAAAATCACACCTTAGGAACATGAATTGTGGTACGGCACATTTTAGGTAAAAGTAGATCGTGAGAATCAAATATAGTCGAAGAGCTAGAGCTCCGAGTAGTATTATCACGATCGAGATTGGAATTAATTAGGTTTAATTTTTACTCATTCAGGCTTCACGCTGACGTAAACATATTTAAACACAGAAATACCCTTCTCTGTAACCATGATGAAACAACACGTTTGCTGGACATGTCATTTGATAACGTCAATGACATATCCTAACGGCCTCGCAATTAAATTCTACGGATAAACGTGTATATTTGTACTTTGAATAATTAAATCGTAAAACAACAAGAATAATCTTAAGTCGTTTTATCAGTTGGACGTGCATTTCGTGATTAAAAAAGCAATGCATAAATAAAATAATTTATGTTAAATTTATTTGTAAGCTTTTGGAAGTTGTGGTACTCTATATACTATTTAAGATAAAAACTTATATAATGCGCCGAGCATTTTTTTATATTTTTTAAATTTTTTTGCGCTCTTCTTAAGGCACTTACAACCATCATGATAAACTTATTTTAAATTTACTTTCCATTTATGAGTTGAGAACAACAATATTTGATATGTGAAATTAATACTAAAAAAACAACATCGAAACTTAATTAAGAACGGTGTATTGCACACTTATCTTTTTATTAAATGTATATGAAATGATTAGTGACAAAATATATGAATATAAAATAAGGCACTTAAAATATTTGTGTGTATGTAAGTCACTTGGTCTGAGCTAAATACTAAAATCAAAATGAAGTAAACTTAAATGCAACTAGCTTAAATGGGGCGACAAATTCAATTTATTAAAAAAAACTGATTTTCTTCAAGTTATATGCGGTTATTCGTTGGTTTAGTTTTAAATCGTTAGTCATTTTCAAAGTTGTTCTATAAATAAACACTTCCACCAAAAAAAAAATGTATAAGCGTAGCAAGCTTTGGAGATTTGAGCGTAAACAATTATAAAATTTTTGCACATTCTAATTACGGCCCACTCACTGCTCGAGACCTATTATGCGGTCATACATAAGTATAGGTAAGCTTCTGATTATAGAACTCTATATAAACTTGACGACACACATAAATCTGTGGACAAGTGTGAGGTATTTAACGAAAAAACAACACTTGAGTACATAAGCTTAAGTACTTTTTATGGTGGATATTGTGATGAAATTATGGCGCTGTGTATTTATCAGCATTGTGCATTACCGCTTTGTGTGCGAGATGAGACTGAGACATTAAATGAGTCAATGTCAAGGCATTTTCAACTAACATATGAGAAATGTGGCGTGAATTGAGACCGATTAGCATGTGATAGCTTGTATATGTGTTTGCATGTATGTATGTATGTATGTATATGAAAGTACAAATGCACTTGAGGCATTCAAATGTTTATGAGGCAGCCAATAATTAAGAGCGTGACGATGAAACTACTGCATACTTAATAACTAATACAAAAAATAGAATATTAAATAATAAAAAGGTTTTGTTTTCTAAACAAACTACAGCTTTTGTAGCGCTTATTGCCGCTGATTGAGTGCGTCAGTTGAATATTGCTTGGTTGTTGCATTTCCGCTTTATAGCTTCATGGTAGATTGCAACCCACAACCGTCACCACTTTGGCCGCCACATCGCTTGCCACACGCACACACTCGCTCAACGAGCGTTTCTCCAGCCAGGCATGCAAAAATGCCGCCACAAATGCATCACCAGCACCTGTGGAGTCTACAACTTCGTTGACACGTGGCACGTGGAAACTTTGAAATGTAATTGCACCTGGCGCTGCATACTCATCCTCGTAGTTTGTAATCAACTGTACACATTCACGGCCATTTGTCACCACAATCACTTTGGCTGTGCTGCTTTGCTCCAACAAATGTTTGGCTGCATCATCAATTGTTTCGTAACCCAGCTGCTGCGCAAATGTCATATGTTCCTTGCGATTGCCAAATATGAAAAATGCTGCACTTGCCAGTTCGCGTAGTTGTCGGAAGTTTTCTCTTATAATATATTCGGCATTTAAATTGATTGCCAAGCGACGACGTTCTCTAATGTAGCTCCGTACAATGAAGTCACAGACATCTTGGCGTTGCGGCACAAAGAAACCTTCGATATAGAGTATTTGTTTACGTTCGATGGGACGGAGAAAGGTCTGTGTCTCGTCATGTTCAGCTTTTCGCAAATGGTCGACGGAGAGTTTGGCCGATGCGCCAATATTGGCGTACAACGCTTTTGTTTTGGTGTCTTTGTTGACGATGCAGACGCACTGGCCGGTCGGTACGTCAGTCACTGTGGCGAGTCTGTGCAATGTAAATAGAAAGAGATATTTTCCATTTATTTGTATTTAACTTTTCAAGTATATCGATTAAGTGTGTACATTTTGTACATCAAATTTGAATGAAATTTGCTAATGATAGTATAAAGAATCGCATTATTTGCAATATCACACGCTCACAGTAATTACAAAGTTAAATATTTACATACATACAATACATAATATATGGTATTGACATTCACGAATATGATGGGAATTTGCACAGCTTGCATGCTGACGAGTATTCCCCGGGAAACTTACTTTACAACAACTCAAGTAAACATGCAATTTTTGAGATGAAAAGAGGTATACTTACAATTAATTTAATTAAATTTATTAAAAACAAGAAAAACATTAACTTTCGTTGCACCGAAGCGTAGTAGAGTACCCTTCACAAATATAAAATATTCCATACAAAAACTTGATTTTGATAGGTCAGCTCGTATAACAGATATATGTATACTATAGTGGTCCGACATAAACAATTTCCTCGGCGATTGTACCATTGCCATGGACAATAATCCACGGCAAATTTCGTGAAGATATCTTGGCAAATACAAAATTTGTCCATACAAGAACAGGATTTTGAGCGATCGGTTTGTATGGCAGCGATATGCTGTCTTTCGATATCCGTGATTCCCACAAATGAACAGCTTCGTGGGAACAGAAGATGTGTGTAAAATTTAAGATCGATATCAAAAAATTTTGCTTATACGTAGGCAGACGGACAGCCGGATATGGCTATATCGTCATGCTAATCAATTATAAATATATTTTATAGAGTCCGACGCTTCCTTCTGGGTGTTCTATTTGAACACCCTTCTTTAGCTCCAAATATACCCGGCTACTGAAAGTTTCAGATTTTTTGCTATTATTTACTTAGAAATTCTTATCAGCGGTGGCATCAACATTCTGCTGAAGATCTTACAATACGTTAGGAATTGTAGCAGCTAAATCCGAAACTTATCTAGAGTTTTCTCCGATATAACTAGCCTAGAAATGCCCTGCATGACACTTTCGGTTCAATACCGTAGTAACTCGTTTCTTGAAACTCCCATTAGATAATATCGATGACAAAACCAGAACTCACTAAATATCATAAGAATAACCGTTGCAGCAACAACAACAGGATGCAGAATATTAAATTAATAATAACTAGCAAGCCTCTTTTAAGCATATATAGACACATGCCAGAGAGCAAGCTTGAAAACCCAGCATAAATATGTATGTACATATAAAGAGCTCAGTATTTTTATAACTTGGAAATGAAGAAACGCTTTTACAGCCAATTGATTAAAATGTTTTATTAAAATATTAATTTAATTTCATAATCGCTTATGTGGTGAACTCCTCTTTGAAATTCGCAGAAATAATTAAGTCAAGTTTAAAAATAGAATTATTGCTACTCAATAAAAATTTTACAATTATTAGAAAAGCTGGCGAATTTTTAAGGAATAATCATTGGACATTATATGTCATTATGTTTGATATCATGACTTGTTGATACAAGTCGACAATTTATCAAAATAAAGATAAAAGAAATTTTGACATTGTTCTGTCTTACTCTCCGCTATAACAGAGATAAAGATAAAACAGAAATAAAGGTGTAAATACAGTCACAGCTACTACATATGTATATATGTATATCAAAAATAAAACAAAATAACTAAAAAACAAAAACAACACGATGTAAAAATACGCGAGGAATTAAAAGCATGAGTCAATGACACATTTTATTTGAGAAGTACATTGCAATTGAAACCGCGACCAATGCACGGTTCAAACGTTGGCAAAGAATAAATAACAATGACCCTTACAAACGTGCAGCGGCTGAAAGGGCTCAAATTAGTAAGCGCTCATGTGTAATAAATAAACACTTAAGTACATACATATGTATATATTTAAGCCCCCCATGCATGCATACGAATTTGTATGCAAATGAAATTTTAGCCAGAGCTAAAAAACCAAATTTATTTAACATTAAAGAGCGGAAATATAAGACATGAAATGTGGACCCTTCTGAAATGCATTTTTACCAATTTAGCCAGGCGTGACTTGAATTTACCATACAGGAGAACGTGCAGCTAAGCGTGACTATTTAAATGCGGGCTCCACTTATAAGTGTGTTACGCTATGCGTGCGCCTAAAGTAAACGCAACTAGAATTTTCAAAACTCATTAAAATAATGTTACTCTTTTTGGTATAAGAAATACGCAATTCAAAAAATATATGCATAAAAAGATTATTTCACAGCTCCTTATTTAAAAATACACGCTATAAACTTTACTATAACTCTTGCCAAAATTACCCACAGTGACGCAAAGTTACTGAACGCTTACTGGTAATTCCCACAGACTCACCTCGTTTCAATTTCACGTTCCTGTAGTATATCTTTTAACTTCTCTGCTGCTTTATCTTCACCCACAGCACCAAAGAAAAGTGCATCGGTACCGAGTTGTTTGAGTATACGCACTGTATTCAAAGCAGAGCCACCGGGATTTACTTCAAATTGCACACTACAAGCAAATGTATTAGCATTGTAAACAATAGTAAATGTATACAAAAATTTGTAGTTCAATGACATTTAAAATGCCAATATAACCATCTGATTGACCAGCTGTTGTTATGGATATCTAATCACTTACCGTTCGGCTGCTTCAGCTGCTAACTTTGCTAAAGTCTCCGCATCAAGTTCGCCTTTCGATTCTGCCGGTATTTGAAATCGTTCCAATAGCTCTGTTTCGCCTTTCGGAAGCTGCGCGGTATGGTCCAGCAGCACGTTACCAAAAGCGACTATTTTGCGTGGCCTACGCGTGCGGAGGAGGTTAGAAAACATAATATAAATGAGATAATAGCATGGTTATTTTATAATTACGAAACACTAAATTATTTGAATTATTTTATAATATTGATATTTACGTATTATTGTAACTGCTTTCACCATATACATAGTCAACAACTTTTCCGTAGATATCTTGCAGGTATTCCATAGTACGATTAAAGAAAAGCATTTGATTAACAATAGCAAATGATAAAAATGCGATTTCACTGTTAAATCAATAAAAGAAACTTCACTTGACTTTTGCCAAAAATGAAGGTTATTCACTACTTCCCAATGCACCAATAAACGCGTCAACGGTAGGCTTTCGACTGAATCTGTAGGTACCACTAGTTTGAAGGTTGACTCGGTTTGTGCGCGCCGCCGCAAAGCTTTGACTACCACATTAAGGGAAGCTAGCGCTTTGTGCGACGTATTATTCTCGTCTGCTTTTGTACCATTTCGGGTTTTTTGTGAGCTACTCCATAACTTGCTCTAGCCATAATTTATTGAAGTGGGAAACTAGTGCTCTCAATGGAATTACACACAACTTCTTTTTTTATAATAATACGATATGCGAATACTTTCTATGTATGCTTATATTGTTTTTATTTTTGTTGCCAGTCTTGTCTGAAAACAATGCTGCTAACTCAAATGGTTGGGCTTAGGGGGAATACTATTAGCACAAAATTATTTCATTGCCTGCTTTCCATTGAATAAAACATATAAGTGGTAATATTTGGTATTTATATATATAATACTTTTTCTATCATGATCCACCAAGAGATATTTAATGAGAAAATCACAGATGTAAATATTACTATTTTCCCCAATTACCCTCATATTTGTTTTATAATCTTTTGTCACACCACTTGTATTCTACAGCTGTTCAGCAAGAGTTGCTTTTATTTACATGGCACTTAAAACTGCTTCAAGATTTATTGAATGATGAATACAGAATAAAAACCCGAATTTTTATATCACAACTTGCGCGTTTTTGTAGAAATATTTTCCAAAAAGTTAAAATCAAAAACTTTTAGATAAAAACAATGTAAAGTGTAGTGAATAGTGGAAAAATTGTGTTAGTGCATTACTGCCGTTACCCATTCCAAATGTACATAAATAGAAAGTTATACATTGCAGTATATGCAAATGTTGAGAACTCTTGCTCTTGCTTCATTGCACGAATTTATTAATAAATACGTATATTTGAATCTGAATATATGAATAAAACATAGAGTCGCTGGTTTCAATATTTAAAACTCATTATTTTTATAAAAAAAATTTACAAGCTAACAAATATTTCTCAACTAAATCCAAGAACATACAGGTACGTAAGTAATAATATAACGAAGTAGGTAACAAAAACATACAAATGAGATATAATAAGCGTATGGCACATAATTACGTTACAGATTATGTTAAAATGCTAATTTTTCTTATTTTAGCAGTTCCGATAAAGTCCTCGCAAACGGTATACTTCCGTATACATGTCCGCTTGAAAGCGATCCTTAATTTCTATTGGCAGGTCACGTATTAAATTTGCTATATTTTTCACAAATAATTCATCAGCTAGATCTTCCATTGCCGTACCAATTTGTTTATTGCAGTTAGCTGTAGAACGTTTACTTTCGTATTTATTGGAATTAAGAATATCGGTATTCATTATACGTTCAATTTTCAAGGGCGCCAAGTCGAATCCTGCCGACTTGTTGCTTTCAAACGAACGCTTAGTGCACTTTGATAAATTGGAATTGGACGAATTTGATTCATCTTCTGTTATTGCATTCACATTTATAAACATTTCATTTATTATGGGCTCTTCTAAGCTGGAACTTAAATCCTTTTCTCTATGTGATCTAAAATAGTAATGTTAATTAACGTAAAATACGTATATTTCAAAAGCAATTATTAAACTTACCGACGCGGTACTATTGATTCTTTTAGAAAAATCATTTCTTTGTAGTATTCCCACTCATTTTCATCAGTCTCGCCATTGCCTATTAGCATAAACCCATCGGCTCTTTTCATTTGCTTGCAGAATCTTTCGCGCAACAACTTCCAGCGCGCTTTGCATTCACTAACTACAATTAGAATATAAATTATAAACATAACATTGCCATTTTATCAAATTGTTACTGCACCTGATCGATCTGTTTGGTTAGACACATCTTGCCAAGCTTCATTGCGTTTAGTTCTATTGTAATAGTTTTTATGACTTTTCTCATACAGAATTGGTTTCTCGCGCACTGATTTTATTAGTTTCAAATAGAATTCGGATTCAATTTTTTGTCCCATTTTTAAACGGTGCGCTTAAGAATTTGCTTACGCAAAATGTCAAAAGTCTTATCAATATTTTACTTCAACGATTGCTTGGAACTTAAGCAATCAGCTGATGTGCAAGTAAAAAATCGATAAACGGTATATTGATCGAAATCGTGTAAGAATTTGGTTTTTTAATAAATGTTTGGTACATTGTAGGTAAGTTATTTAATGATGTTTATTATCAAAAACAGGTATTAATGAAAAATTACAAAGAAAAATGTGGCAAACCATATGAAATGGCTTATTTGTCTGTTCCAATGCACCTTCCCACCTCTGGTGACATAGCTTGTTTACTTTTGTGCTTAGCTATAATTTGGTAGGCACTGACAGTTTTGAAGCCATTGCAGCGTAAAACATTTAAAAATTAAAGCAACAGTGGCTTTGCAAATATGAAAAATTTAAAAATAAAAACTTTAATTATTGGTTTGCAGTTTGGCCAGAGAACTTAGAAGAAGTTACGTTCTCTAATTCGGCTTTAACTATGTATTATCTTGATAAAACATTGTTATAAGAGATGGTAGCATAAAATACTTAAAACCGCGTAATAAGTAAAGTTAATTATGAGAACGTAATTAAATACGCTGGTAAATTTAATTAAAGCATATATGATTAAATTAAAATATAATAATCATAAACCATTTAATATACTAAAAACTGAATATACCTTTTTTAATTTGACTATAGTTCTCCTAACCTATAAAAATTATTATTAATACTATTACTTTTTTTTCAAACATAAAGCGCTTGAACATATAAATATATTAAGACGCGTTCTCTCCTACAATATCAGCTCATATTCTCTTAAATCGTTATTCTCAGAAGCTTTTCTTCAACTATGCCTACTAATCTACTTTGTTATCAACGTTCTGCAAGCTGACACAGAAACACGCCTGCACAAACATTTCACAATATAAGCAATCTACATAGTATGTACATATGTAAGTTTACTGGCAAGCCTAATTGGGAATTTCCAATTCTTTTGCAAGCGACAAATGGCATAAAGAAACTTTGGGATGGACCAGAGGAAAAAATGTAAATAAGAAAATATTAACTGCATGAAATCTTATAGCCTGCTTACATACATACATACATATGTATGTACCATTTATACTGTACTTAATCTGAGTTCAGTTTCGCAATGATGCGTCGTGTGCGAAATTGCTCTCTGTGCAGTTTCTTGCATTTTTCTTTTTATATCTTTTTTTACTTGCTGCTCTTTCGCATTGGGGGATTTTTGCGTAAATACCCACGCTAAATGCATACGCTTGTACATACATACATACATAGGCAAATTTGCGCGTATTTTTGAAGGAGTGAATTTTCTAATTTATGTAAATTACTTTACTTTCACAGGTATTTTTCTTTTTAAAGCTGTGGGATTTACCAGCTGTAATAAATTGAGTTTGCTATATCAAACAAATTTTACTTTTTCTGCAAATAAATAAAATAATATGTATTTAAAAAATATATTGGTGAAATATAGTAGCAAAAATTTATGAATTTTTAATATTATAAATACTTTGTTTAGTTTAAAATAATAGTAATGTAAATTAATTAAAAAATGGTATTTATAAATGGCCACGATAGATTATATGTACATACATGTATGTATATAAAACTTTTTTTGATATACATACGTACACACACGTATTCACATAATTTTAATGATATTTTAATTTTGGAAATTGTATTACCCTATCAACTTTATCAACTGTACGTAGCCGATAGCTTAGAGAGTTCTCACTAAATAAGTTTGAGAAATTCTTTGAAATATTGCAAAAGAATGCAAATAATTTTTTGGGCCAAGATAAGGATTTAAATTTTTTTTCTTTCAAAAGCAATGTAGTATTTTTTTTATTTTGAGGTTTTATTGTATAAAATGTTTCTTTAAAGTAAATGATATGCTAGTACATATTTAAATTTATCTTAAATAAAAATTCACTGAAAAATGTAAATTTGATATATGTATATACTTGTATGTACTTGTATGTATGAAGCCTTGCTTGACAATTTCTTGGGCTTCATAGAAAACATTGGTTCTGCTTTTTGACAATCTCACTCAATATACAATAAAAACGAAGTTTGAAATTTAGTTTTCTAAAATAATAAACCGCATCTAGCTGGTTTACAGCTAGAAAACATGAGTTTTTTGAAGAATTTTTAAAGAGGCAGTTTATGTGACAAATAAACTAAAAAATGAAAATTTACAGAATGTATTGCACTTTAATAATCGGCGAATCATTTTGAAAAGTTTGGGATTCCCTTGATCTTACAACCGACCCACAAAAGGACCTCCAAAAAAAGATGTCTGGCAGTAAGAAAGATTTTGTCTGTCAAAGGCTAGGGCAACTAAACTCGTATCAATCAGTATTGAAATGGATTCACCGATAATTCTTTTAAACAACCGTTAGCTGAATAAATCTTACAACCATGTTACGTTCAATTTAAAATTTAGAAAATAACTGTAATCTCGCTAAAACTTGTTAAAAAAAAGTCTCTAATAACATACATACATATATCGCTACATAATCCCAGAAAGTTACGCTCACACCGATGTGGTTAACATACAAATTTGGTTACGTGCAAAAATTTGACGAGGCGTAAGGCAAAAATTATTAGTGCAAACATTTGCAAAGAGTCTAATCTTTTCATTAGCATTACACAAATTAGTTTATTGCATATAACTTCAGACAGAGCTTTATATGAATGTGTATTAACTCGCCTCAACCCCTTCGCATACCCTACTCTTTATTGCACTAAATGCGTGCTACGTTTCGGTACGCTCGTACCCACTGCCTACACACACACTACACACTCCCTTTCGTAGTATTTTCTCTTAATACTTTATTTCACCTTTTTTCCTTCAAACGGGTGGTCCAAATGATAGTTTTTTTTTTAAATATTTTGCTGATAAATATATCGACAGTGATTTCGCCTTTGACTTTCTAAATTTTTATAGAAAGTCGTTGTTTATATCCATATAACAAATTGCAAAATATTTAAAAGTATTAACCTAAACACATCTTTTTCACGAAGAACCTTTTCATCACGACGACTATGTTAATAAGCACCACGAATGTGAATGGGGTTCGAAAAACAGATAGGTGACCTTGGAGATGCCAATGCAATCCCTTAAAGGGACAGTCCGGGCGTATTTCGACGCTCTGCTATCAGTGACCATTTTCTTTTATATCGCAGAATAGGTCATGCCCAGTCGAAAATACTTGACCAAATAAAAATCCGGAACCGTTCCATAGTAGACCCGACTGCCGTGGGCTGTGAATAACCGGTTGAATAGCCGGTTAGAAGAAATCTCGAGCCAAGGCCGAAAACCGGCTTAAACGATTACCCCAATGAGAATCTTCCATTATTCGAACAAATCCATGAGTATGTATTTTTTTAATACACCACAACATGAACCACCCTGTAAAACTGTACTTGCAACTGCTTGAATCCTCTTGAGTACAAGTTCGAGGATTTATTTGAGCATGATTTCCATTTGTTAAACGTTTAGTGTTAATTTTGATTGTCAATTAAATAGCGTTAGACTTATAATTGCTACAGAATTCAATGATAACTGATAGAAAAAAGAAGCTATTCTAGAGCATTTTACACAAATTAACGTTTAATTTGATGCTTCTTTCTTTTGGCCACGGATGCGAATATTTAACCCAGCATTGTTCACACCTCCTGAATTTTTCATAATGCGCATTACTTCCAGCGTTCATTCATTTCTTAATGGCGCCGGCACGTGGGGTCTAGTGAAACGTCTTTTCTTGTTGGTGTAATTTTAGGTATGTTAACCGCTAAAGTTGCGTAAATTTAATCGATAAATCGGTTAATTAAAGTTCAAATAAAGGGCAGCTCTGGAATGTGTGAATCAGTTGAGCTACTTTTAACTTAAAAAGTGTCTATTAAAAACGCGTTTATTAGCACTTTTGATAAACTTAAAAAGTGCGTCAAAGACATTGTTTGATAGCCGACTGGAAGTGGAGAAAAATGCAGTAAAGTGATAATGCTTTAGTCAGCATTATGCTAAAAAATTTAAATTTAAATTATATATGTTACTTGATCACAGATATCACTTGACAGATTGTCTTCTGAATTTCTCACAGCTCATCTTTATCTTTATTGTCTTCATAAACCCTTATAGGATTTTAGTCGGGTTCATGATATTGAAACAGTTCCCTTTTTCACTGCAACTCTACTCTTTGTATCGAGCGTGCATGCCGTCCATAAAGTAACTTCTAAGACAAACCGAAACTTGAACGTAATAAATATAAAAAAAAAAAAGGAAAAAGTTAACCTCGGTTGCATTGAAGTTATAATACCCTTTACAAATACAAAAGATTGATTAAAAGAACTTGATTTTGATCGATTATATATATGCTATAGTGATCCAATCTGAACAATTTCTTCGGAGGTTGCACCATTGCCTTGAGCAATAAACCATACCATTTCTTGATGATATCTCGTTAAAAAGAAAAGCTTTCCCTACAATCTCTTTATTCCGAACGTTCAGTTTGTATGACATCTATACTATATAGTGGTCCGATATAAGTCGTTCAGAAAAATGAGCAGCTGCTTAGGGAGAGAACATGTGCAAAATTTCAGATCGATATCTCAAAAACTGAGAGACTAGTTCGCGTATATGCAGACAGACAAACGGACATGCCTAAGTCGACTCAGCTCGTCACGTTGATCATTTATATATATATTTTATAGGGTCTCTGATGTTTCCTTCTGAGTGTTATACACTTCGACACAAACTTAGTATACAGGGTATACTGTTCAGCGTATAATTAATGGTTTTTAAAGGTTTTCTAGCATCACTCATATTTTTATCGTGGGCAGTACCAGTTTTTAAAGAATATATTCGGGGGGCCATGGGTTCAAATCCTGATCGTATAAAACCCAAAATTCTGAAATTTTTATACATTCGTAACATGTAGGAGTAGCTCCTAACGGTTGTTTGCAGCATCCAAAATTATTCGAGTTAAATATAGTATTAGTATTTTAAAGTCATCACGATGTTTTGAAATGAGCGCAATCGGACTAAAATAACTTCATCCGGTGATTTTAATTATTTTACTTTACAATAGATTCTACAAAAATACAAAATTGGAGATATCAAAAAAAAAGTGGGTGCAAATAAAGCCGATGTCAAGCCATGTGGGAATTCTCATCTAATAATGATTGAAATTAGTTTATGCGTGTGCAAATCTCTAGATACGGAATATGAAGACATTCGGCCTAATGAT